GCACACCCCTCACACGTTTCGTGGCCCCATAGGGAGCTCCACCGAAGGCCCCAGTGGCTGCGCCCGCATGCGGTTCCACCCCCCATTCTGGCACACCCCTCACACGTTTCGTGGCCCCATAGGGAGCTCCACCGAAGGCCCCAGTGGCTGCGCCCGCATGCGGTTCCACCCCCCATTCTGGCACACCCCTCACACGTTTCGTGGCCCCATAGGGAGCTCCACCGAAGGCCCCAGTGGCTGCGCCCGCATGCGGTTCCACCCCCCATTCTGGCACACCCCTCACACGTTTCGTGGCCCCATAGGGAGCTCCACCGAAGGCCCAGTGGCTGCGCCCGCATGCGGTTCCACCCCCCATTTCGGCACACCCCTCACACGCTTCGTGGGTGGCTCCATGGGGAGCTCCACCGAACGCCCCAGTGGCTGCGCTCGCATGTGGTTCCCCCCCCCCATTTCGGCACACCCCTCACACGGTTCGTGGCCCCATAGAGAGCTCCACCGAAGGCCCCAGTGGCTGCGCTCGCATGCGGTTCCACCCCCTTTTTCGGCACGCCCTTCACACGTCTCGTGGCCCCATAGGGAGCTCCACCGAACGCCGCAGTGGCTGCGCTCGCATGCGGTTCCACCCCCCATTTCGGCACACCCCTCACACGTTTCGTGGCTCCATAGGGAGCTCCACCGAAGGCCCCAGTGGCTGCGCTGGCATGCGGTTCCACACCCCATTTTGGCACACCCCTCGCACGTTTCGTGGCCCCATAAGGGGCTCCACCAAAGGTCCCAGTGGCACTGCCCGCTTGCGTCCGCCACCACCCAGCACAGCCCTTGTTCCCTGCGCTTCACCCGCCCAGAACAGCGCTTCGTAGCCCTATAGGGAGCTCCACAAAAGGTCCCAGCGGCACCGCCCGCAAGCGTCCGCCACCACCCTGCGCAGCCCTTGCTCCCTGCCTGCGTTTCACCCACCCAGTACAGCGCTTCGTGGCCCCATAAGAAGCTCCACCGAAGGTCCCAGTGGCACCGCTCGCATGCGTCCGCCACCACGCAGCACAGCCCTTGCTGACCGCGTCTCACCCACCCAATACAACGTTTCGTGGCTCCATAGGGAGCTCCACCGAAGGTCCCAGTGGCACCGCCCGCATGCGCCCGCCACCACCCAGCACAATTGCGGCATTCACAACTGCATATGGTTGGGTCCTTCGCCAAGCTAATTTCTTGGTCTTTGTCTTCCCCCCCACTTCCCATATTTTCCCATATTTTCTGGGGAATCGCCGATTCATTGTGTCTGTGTGTTTTTTTTCCTCCTGACAGAAAGCCTCTCAGAAGGCCAGGGGGCTTCTGAGAAGCCACGCCGCCATCTGTGGGGGGCGCGCAAACATGGATTAGCGATCCATGGATTCGGCGCGCGGTCGCCAAATCCATGGGTCGGGGGAGGTGCCCTCCCCAAAATGCGGCCGGTGCCGCCTCGCTCGGCGGCGGAAATCCGCGATTCCCCCTGGAAACGGGACCCGTCGCTCATCCGCGCCCCTTGAATCCATGTCTGCGATCGCCTGACTCCGAGAGGACCTTCAGCTTCTCGCTTCGTTCCCCTTCGCTCGCCGCCGACCCGCTGGCAGCCTCAGCCCGCGACGACGCTCGGCGCCACCGAGAGGGGGGCGGCCGGCTCTGCCCGCGGCCCCCGCCCTGCCAGGACTGCGCCCCCGGGGGGCGCAGGCGAGAGCGGGGCGGGCATCGGCACTAGAGGAGGAGCTTGGAGGAAAAATCGAAAATCGAACAATCGGAAAGACCCCAACAATACCCCCAGAATAATCAACAATGGTCAAGACATTGTTTCCTTACTATTTGTTTACTATTCTTGCATAGTCCCCCTGTAGAGGGACACGCCCGACTGAAGCTCAGGGCCACACGACTCCTGCCGCCCCTTTCGACGCGCGCTGGAGCGGCCACGGCCTGCTCCAGATTCCCCTGGAGATCTCTGGACGCACTTGACAACCTACCAGACCATCCCAACCCAACCCGAAGACCCGCATTCTAGACGCTTCGCGTAACCCCACCAGCCTGATGCTCACGCCCAACATTGGGCACACATTTCGGCTTTTGGCAGTCGGTTCTCTTGGCTTCGGCCACCCTGGTACTTTCGCGGTTCCATGGGTGCCTACGCCCCTACACTCAATTCACTCGCAGCTCGCAGACCCTGGCCGCCGGCCACCCAGGCAGCCAGCAGCGCGTTGCATGCGCGCACCCTGGCAGTGCAGCTTCCCAACAATTGCCGTCAGCCCCCTTCCACTCGCCGGCCTGGCCGCTGAGGTGCCGCGTGAGGCTTCGGCCCACTGCTTTAGGTTAATTCGTCTTTGCGCGGCCCGCTCTGACTGGACTCGCCGCTGGCGCTCTCGCCTGCGGCCGCTGACTACAAAAAAGCCACTAGCCCACCCAGAAACGATGCCCAGAGGAATTGTCTCGATCAGGGAAGTGGGCAGCACACAGAGGAAGGGTCCCCCAGTGGAGGCCTCTTGGAGCGTCTTGGGTGCCTCGGAGAGCTTCTTTGGGCCTCTTGGGGGTCTCCTGGGAGCATCTTGGAGGTCTCTTGGACGCCTGTTGGGGCCTCCTGGGCGCCTCTTGGGGCCTTGTTGAAGCGCTCTTGGGAGCCTTGGGAGCGCTCTTGGGGCCATCTTGGGGGACATCCATCAAACAAGAAGCGAGCATTAGTTAGCGTTCCCCCTCGGGAGCCCAAACAATCGCCTCTTGGAGCGCTCTTGGAGCGCTCTTAGGCGCTCTTGGGGCCGCCTTGGGGCTCTCTGGAGCCTTTCTTGGAGCCCTCTTGGGCCATCTTGGAGCCATCTTGAGGCCTCAGATGGCCATCGGAAGCGAAAAGGTGAGAAAGCCAAACACATAGAATTTCCTCGGGTTTGGGCCTCTTCGGGGACTCCTGGGGGAGCTCTTTGGCCACTGGGAGCCGTCTTGGAGCGGTCTTGGGGAATCTTGGAGCTTCGTGGGAGCCATTATGAGACATCTTGGGGTATCTTGAGCCATCTTGGAGGTCATCTCGGGCTCTCCCCCAGGCGCTCTTGGAGTCTCTTAATCAGTGCCCCCCTCAGAGGCCAACATGTGGCTAAAACCGGGGTAAAATCAATGATTTGACATTCTCGCCGAGGCCTCTTGGAGCATCTTGGGTGCCTCTGGGGGGTCTCTTGGGAGCCTCTTGGGGGCATCCTGGGGGCCTCTTGGGGCTTCCTGGCCACCTCGGGGCACACTTGGGAACCTTGGGGGCCATCTTTGGGCCATCTTGGGTAAGATCGATCACAGGAGGGGGGCACTAATTAGGGTCCCCTCCTCAGGAGGCCAAAATGGGGCCCAAACCCTAGTAAAACCAATGATGTTGGCTTCCTCGCCGAGGCCGTTTTGGACGCTGCGACACCTCGCGAACCCCCCTGTCCAGGTCCATGGGTAGGGGGTAGGGGGAGGGGTAAACCACTCCCCGAAGGGGAAGAAGGAGGGGTGGAAGAGGAAACTTCCTAAACCACCGACGCCCAGATGGCTGGTGGGATTTCGGGTTGGGGCAAATACGGGCTCCATCTGTGTTTTTCAATGTTCCCCGAACCCCCCACACTGGAAATGCAGGGCCAATCGGGGCCTTCGGGCACGTCCGAGCGATGCCAAGGCTGAGGGGGGGCTCTCCTGGAAGGGGACGCCCCCCTCCAAAGCAAAGCGCCTCCGCAGACCCTGCGCCAGGGGGCGAGCACTCTCTGAGAGCCAACGAGGGGCGGGCACCAGCTCAGGGGGGGAAACCTCGAGCTGGAATCGCCGATACGTCGCCGATAGATCGGCGATAGGCCCGCGACAGCGAATCCGCACGGTCCTGTATCGGGCCCCGTCGGCGATTGATATTGGCGGCGCGCACAAGGGGGTGGAGGGAGGGGGGGGGGCTTCTTAGAAGGAGGCTGCTTCTTGGAAGGCGCCGGCCTTACATCTAGAGATTAGGCCCGCGCCTTCTAAGAAGCAGGGGTCCTTCTAAGAAGCCCTCCCCCCTCCCCCCACCCCCCTCGGCGCGTGGCTGATGATAGGCGAGTGGGGGTCGACGCATCCCCCCCTGACGTTGCCCCTGCCTCTCGGAGGGGCGTCCCCTCTGGCACTGCCCCGCTTGGCTCGCCGCCGGCGGCCTACGATCCCGATGCACTGGCCCGACTCCCGGTCCACCACGGGGAACTCCGAGAAGCTCTGCCCGTCCCTGCTGGCCTCCAGCGCCCTCCTCTGGCGGCGAGCCCGGGGGTGAAGTGAGGGGGGGCAGGCCTCCTCTGAAGGCGGTGAGGCTTCTCAGAAGCCCTCGCGGCCTCCTGGGAAGCTGTGCAGGCCTCCTCCGGCAGCACCGAGCACTTCTCTCACAAGGCCGGCTGGCTTCTGGGGAGCCCCGCCGCCTTCTGAGGAGGCTCGCCCCCCCTCACCTCCCCCCCCCCTGGGCTCGCCGCCGATTCCTGGCGTCCTGCACGGGGCACTCCCGCGGCAGCACCGCCTCGCTGGGCAGCCGGTCGCAGAGCCCGACCGCCAGGGCGCTGTCCAGGTGGGGCGGTGCGTCGCCCTCCAGGAAGGGCAGGCGCTTCCGGGCGATCTGCTCCTCGTCGTGCCCCCGCCGGTTGATGCGCCAGTTCACCGCCATGGAGACGCACACGCTGAGCATGACAACGGGCGCCAGGGTGAGGTCGTTGACGCACTCCACTGTGATGAGGACCACCGACAGGGTCATCTGCTTGAAGCCGCACAGCATCGCGGCGCTGCCGACCACGGCGTACACGCCCGAGACGGTATCGGAGAGCCCCGCCTCGCGGACGAGGCTGCCCACGCAGCGGCCGAAAAGGCCACCCAGCAGCATAGTCGCGGTAAAGGCGCCTCCGGGCACAGGGAGCCCGCTGAGCCCGACGTTCAGGCAGAAGTACACAACGAAGGATATGATGCTCGACCACCACCGGATCTCCCCCGCGTTGCTGCCCGAGTAGAGCAGCTTCACGGAGCTGTGAGAGGTGGTCACCAGGAGAGAGGCGATGGCATTGTACTCTCCTGGCTCGCAGTTGAATTGCACGTACTGCAGGTTCGAGGAGCCCGTGGGCCTGCACGCGGAGAGCAGCGACACGAGGCAGGAGACACCAGTACAGAAGGCACAATGCTCGGGGAAGAAATAATGGCATGCGCATAAACTTTTGGAGGTCCGCGCGGATTTCTCGATCGGCGCTGGAGCCCCCTGGCGGCACCTCCGGCGACGCCCCTGGCGCGCGGAGCGCGCAAGGGAGGGGGTCCAGCGCCGATCCAAGAAATCAGCGAGAACCATGGACAGTTTATGTGTACGCCAATGTATGTTCCTCAGAATAGAAGAGTGTATCGATAATCCTGCACCACGGCTTCCCGTACCAAGATGGGAACCTCTTAGCCAGATTGCCCCGCCAACTCGCGAGCATGAGGCACCCACGGGTGTGCACAGAGGTCAGCAAGCCCAAAAGGGCTGCCAGCACGACAAACCACGGGACGTCCGTCCACTGCCAGTTCCGCTGCTCGTGCAGCCTGCTGTAGATGACGAACTCCAGGATGTCGTGACCGCTGATGTTCAGCATGCCGTAAGAGATGAGAGTGCACAGCATAGTGGCGGTGAACACGAGAAATGTCAGCTCCCAGGGCCAGGCGGTGGATGTCATCTCCTCGAACATGTACAGCAGTCCGCCGAATGGTGCGTTGAAGATCATGGCCATCCCGCACGCGCCGCCCACTGCGCAAGCAATCCTCGTCGCGTGCTCGAACCGCTCCTCGTCGACCACGACGGCCTCCCGCGCGTCGCTGTTGAAATCCACCCACTGCTTGAGAATCGGGCGCACGATGCGCTGGCAGATGAGGAATGCCACGTTGCTGCCAATTACCACGGTGGGCCCCTCGCGCCCAACAGGAAAGCCGGCTGCGTTGGCCAGGATGGTGGTGGCAACCCGCACCAGCAGCGTGCGCCTGGTGTAGAAGCCAGGCATGCGCGCGCCGTTCAGGAAGCACTTGTTCTCCGGCAGGCCGGAGCCACCGCAGCTCGGAGCGAAAAACTGTATGAGGCAGACGCCCATTTCTCGGTTGTTGCCAGAGGTGTGTCCCTGGCCCGATGTGTCCCCAGCATTTCCCAGGAGCCTTCCAAGCTTCCAGGTCATTCCTTGCGAGGCCCAGAGGGCCCCAGAGGGCTCCAAAATAGAGAGAAAAGCTGGCGACGCCTTGGGCCAGTGACTCCTGTGGCAACCTTCGACATTAGGGCGTAGAACAGGGATGCAGCGACGACGACCACGACGCCCCAGGTAAGGCCAGAATTGGCAATGGTCTGCTGCATGACTAAAAACTTCAGCTCGATAGAGTACTCGATGCTGAAAATGGTGACGAAATTCAGCACTGCCACGGACTATGTCGAACATATGGGGTACCGTCTCTGCCTCCCTGGCCGACTATCCCGGGCATCGTTGAAGCCATCCAAGGCGATCCAAGGTTGTCTGACGGTAGGCGACGCCATTAGATCGTACTCGATGCCACAATGGCCACCGAGGCTGTCTGGGCGCTGGAGGATGCAGCAACTGCCAGAAGCTAAGATAGACAACCCCAGCCCAAATCCCGCCGCCCAGGGTATTCCCTGGGGCCTGCTGAGAGCAGTCAAGACTACCTCCATGTCAGTCCGCATCCCCAAGAGCCTTGCCAAACTTCAGACGCAGTGAAAAATCACGGCCAGAGCTCCCGAACGTATCTTCACGCGGCCCTTCTCGGACCGGACCAGTCCGTGGGGGGCCACGGGGCCAAACTACTTTGTAAACAATTGCCCGTCGTGATGCTGACAACGACGCCCAGATGTCGAAATCTGGTCCGCCGAGTCAGCTCAAGACGGCTCTCCAGGGCCCCTCCCGGGCAAATCCTGACCCGTCCCGAGCCGCGCCCCTTTGTGGCGACGAGGGGCGCCACGGAGACCACAAAGCAGCAAGGAGGGGACGCGCGACGGCGCAGCAAGAACACGAACAGCGAGGACGAGGCGGCCCCCACAGGTCCAACACGGCATGGATGCCGCGGTGAGCAGCGTGATGCTCCACATCACCTGCGAACAAGCTCGCAGACGACGCCGACGACGACGGCGCCAACGCCAACACATGCCGACGCCGACGACGCCGACGCCGACGACGCCGACGTCGAGGCCACCAGCAGCGGCAGCAAAGGCAGCCAGTGCCGACGACGGCGCCGACGGGCACCGCCGACGACGCCGACGACGGCGGCGACGAGGCCACTAGCGGCGGCAGTGGCAGCCGCTGCCGACGACGGCTCCGACGGGCGCCGACGGGCGCCGTCGACGACGTCGACGCCGACGACGCCGACGACGGCAGCGACGAGGCCACCCGTGGCGGCAGCCGGTGCGTCTGCGGCCCCGTGACGACGCTGCGCCGAGGCGGGGCGGGCGCAAGGCTGGCGCGTGACGGCGATCCAGCGGTGGTCTGCGGGCCGACGGAGCTGCCGCCAGTGGCCTGCGGGAAGGCCGAGCGAAGCTTCCCTTGTCCTTCTCCTGCCTCCCTCCGCTCTCCCACTTCCCTCCTCCCTCCTCCCTCTATCTTCTCTGCTACTCCTTCTGCCTTCCCTTCCCTCTCTCCTGCTGCTCCTCCTCCTTCTCCTTCTGCTGCTGCTCTTCTCCTCCTCCTCCATCCTCCTCCTCCTCCTCCTCCTCCTCCTCCTCCTTCTCCTCCCTCCTCCTTCTCCTCCCTCCTCCTCCTCCTCCTCCTCCTCCTCCTCCTCCTCCTTCTCCTTGCCCACATTCTGCTCCCTCCCTCCCTTCGGCAGCGGCCTCCCGAGGTGGCACCCCGGACATTGGATTAATATTTGGCTTGGGTTAAGGAAACGCCCTTCCGGAGTTGGCGGATTGACCCAGAGCTGATAAAGAGCAAAGGAATGAAGAATGATGATCCGCGACCATTCCAACAGTGCGAATCCGTAAACGCGAACCGACAAAACCACAAGAACAGAAAACGAGTAGAAGGGGAAACCCCGGGCGAGGTCAGGGGACGAGGGGGTTCGAGGATCGAGGGGGATTCTAGGTCTAAGTGTTTGGGTCGTTTCTGATCACCTGTGGCCCCCCCGCCCGGATGCTTCTCGTCGCCACGGCTGCATTCCTCTGGGAGTTCTGATCAGAGTCCAGTGACGGATCTCTCACCCCGCGGACCCAGACCTCTAATCCCTTGAACAAAACAAGGCAGCGCTGTTTCGCCATTCTCGGCGTATGAAAAACAAGTGCCGGGCCCTGGATGATTCAAACGACGACTCGGGGATGAAACGAAACGAAAAAAACGAATGGAGGACGAACGACGCTCTGTTCAGCAACCAGGAATCAGGAAGCAGGAGGAGGAGGAGGAGGAGGAGGAGGAGGAGGAGGAAGAAGACAAAAAACGCTACAGGCCCTAAAGTTTGCCGAACGTCAAAAGAAGACGGAAGAGAAGGAGGAGGAGGAGGAGGAGGAGGAGGAGGAGGAGGAGGGAAGTCCCTGGAGAGCTCCGCGCGGCCTCTGCGCGATCCTCAGGAGCCTCCAAGGCCCTAGAGGTCCCCACAAGTCGCTGGAGAGGAAGGGGGCCGAGGAGGAGGAAGGGACCCACTGAGGAAGCGCGCCCAGGTTTCCCGAGCACGCCCCGCAGTGAAAGAAATCAAAACTCGAGGGCCCCCCCGACCAGGCTCAGCCGGGACCCAGGACCTTCAGCCGCTACCGAGGCGGCTCACCACATCTCATCTTCTCGAGGGGGGTGTTCTGTGCACTGAGGGTCTTGGGAATATCCGAGGGGCCTTTACAAGGTGGACCAGAAAAAACAAACGACATCACCCCACCTACGGCCCCAGGGGGCTTAGCGTATACCAGGAAATCTATATGGCGTTGGTTTTGCGTGGTATACGCTCCAGCGCCCGATGTGCCGTAGTGCAACATGGAGGGCCGTAGGCGGGGTGGCGTCGTTGTTTTTTGGTCGACACGGAACTCTGAGCGCCAGCACCCGACCCGCGGACGAGAAGAACGAGGAGGAGGACTTGATTTGGACTCGAGTAATGAACGCGCCCCTGCTCCGACTGGCAGATTCTGTACAGTCCAGAGATCTCACAATTAATGGGGACATGCGTAATGCAGCCCCATGCTGCTCACAGAAGGTTTTACCATCTCATTCCTCCTCCCCCTACTCTTTCTCTCTCTGTCTCTCTGTCTCTCACTCTCTTAACCGCGGGAGGGGACGTGGGGGGGGGGCGCGCGCCGCCATGAGCGCAAGCAGAGCTTAGAACAGTAACCGAAAGCGCCTGGACAACCCAATGTTCACGAACTCATCCTAGTTACTCATTTGGGAAGCCACATGAGGGAACTGCCTTGAGGCGGAGAAATAGGAGGGCTGGAGGAACAGAGGAAAATTGATTGCTGGAGAACTGCACTGACACAGAGGGCTGGGAAGAGAGAACAGGAGGGAACAACAAGACCACCAGCACGCAAGCGGATGGCGCAATCGACCCCTGAAGGGGTGAGGGGCCACCCACCACGTCAGAAACACCTGTCGCTAACCCCCAACCCCTGGTCACAACCTGGCAAGTCCTGTCAAGAACTGAGCAGCCAGCCTGTTTCAGGCCAGCACGCCCTCTATTTGGACTACCTCCTTGCACTGGCACGCGTGTGCGACGAGTGGCAGGCTACAGACTGCAAGAACGGGCGCGGACAATGCCATGGAAAGAGAGAGAGAGAGAGAGAGAGAGAGAGAGAGAGAGAGAGACACGTAGAAAGAGAGAGAGAGAGAGAGAGAAACAAACTTAGCCTGGCGAAGGACCCAACCATATACAGCTGCGAGTACCGCGCGGATATGAGACGAAGGAGGGGGCACGCAAACTAGGCCCCTCTTCTCATAGGCACCGCGCCATTGGGGCCTTCGGTGGAGCTCCCTATGGGGCCACGAAGCGTGTGAAGGGTGTGCCGAAATAGGTGGTGGGGAGGCATGCGAACCCTGCCACTGGGGCCTTCGGTGGAGCTCCCTATGGGGCCACGAAGCGTGAGAGGGGTGTGCCGAAATGGGTGGTGGGGAGGCATGCGAACCCTGCCACTGGGGCCTTCGGTGGAGCTCCCTATGGGGCCACGAAACGTGTGAGGGGTGTGCCGAAATGGGTGGTGGGGAGGCATGCGAACCCTGCCACTGGGGCCTTCGGTGGAGCTCCCTATGGGGCCACGAAACGTGTGAGGGGTGTGCCGAAATGGGTGGTGGGGAGGCATGCGAACCCTGCCACTGGGGCCTTCGGTGGAGCTCCCTATGGGGCCACGAAACGTGTGAGGGTGTGCCGAAATGGGTGGTGGGGAGGCATGCGAACATGCCTGCCACTGGGGCCTTCGGTGGAGCTCCCTATGGGGCCACGAAACGTGTGAGGGGTGTGCCGAAATGGGTGGTGGGGAGGCATGCGAACCCTGCCACTGGGGCCTTCGGTGGAGCTCCCTATGGGGCCACGAAACGTGTGAGGGGTGTGCCGAAATGGGTGGTGGGGAGGCATGCGGACCCTGCCACTGGGGCCTTCGGTGGAGCTCCCTATGGGGCCACGAAACGTGTGAGGGGTGTGCCGAAATGGGTGGTGGGGAGGCATGCGGACCCTGCCACTGGGGCCTTCGGTGGAGCTCCCTATGGGGCCACGAAACGTGTGAGGGGTGTGCCGAAATGGGTGGTGGGGAGGCATGCGAACGCAGCCACTGGGGCCTTCGGTGGAGCTCCCTATGGGGCCACGAAACGTGTGAGGGGTGTGCCGAAATGGGTGGTGGGGAGGCATGCGGACCCTGCCACTGGGGCCTTCGGTGGAGCTCCCTATGGGGCCACGAAACGTGTGAGGGGTGTGCCGAAATGGGTGGTGGGGAGGCATGCGAACGCAGCCACTGGGGCCTTCGGTGGAGCTCCCTATGGGGCCACGAAACGTGTGAGGGGTGTGCCGAATGGGTGGTGGGGAGGCATGCGAACCCTGCCACTGGGGCCTTCGGTGGAGCTCCCTATGGGGCCACGAAACGTGTGAGGGGTGTGCCGAAATGGGTGGTGGGGAGGCATGCGGACATGCGAACCCTGCCACTGGGGCCTTCGGTGGAGCTCCCTATGGGGCCACGAAACGTGTGAGGGGTGTGCCGGGATGGGTGGCGGGGAGGCATGCGAACCCTGCCACTGGGGCCTTCGGTGGAGCTCCCTATGGGGCCACGAAACGTGTGAGGGGTTTGCCGAAGTGGGTGGTGGGGAGGCATGCGAACCCTGCCACTAAGGCCTTCGGTGGAGCTCCCTATGAGGCCACGAAACGTGTGAGGGGTGTGCCGAGATGGGTGGTGGGGAGGCATGCGAACCCAGCCACTGGGGCCTTCGGTGGAGCTCCCCATGGGGCCACGAAACGTGTGAGGGGTGTGCCGAAATGGGTGGTGGGGAGGCATGCGACCCCTGCCACTGGGGCCTTCGGTGGAGCTTCCTATGGGGCATGCACGCCACTGGGGCCTTCGGTGGAGCTCCTATGGGGCCACGAAGCGTGTGAGGGGTGTGCCGAAATGCGTGGTGGGGAGGCATGCGAACCCTGCCACTGGAGCCTTCGGTGGAGCTCCCTATGGGGCCACGAAACGTGTGAGGGGTGTGCCGAAGTGGGTGGTGGGGAGGCGTGCGAACCCTGCCACTGGGGCCTTCGGTGGAGCTCCCTATGGGGCCACGAAACGTGTGAGGGGTTTGCCGAAATGGGTGGTGGGGAGGCATGCGAACCCTGGAGGGAGGAGGGCGAGGAGGAGGAGGAGGAGGAGGAGGAGGAGGAGGAGGAGGAGGAGGAGAGGAGGAGAGGAACGCGGGGCACCGTCTCTTCAAAACGAGGACCCAACACCACAAGATGGTTGGGGAAAAAGAGAGAGAGAGAGAGAGAGAGAGAGAGAAAAGAGAGAGAGAGAGAGAAAGAGAGAAAGAAAGAGAGAGAGAGAGAGAGAGCGGCATGCGGGAGTCCACCCCCACGCCCGTGGAGGGCTGCCAGCACACGGACGCCAGCTTCATTCTCACACGCGCCTGGCTCCACGTTGCAAGTATGTGAACGATGGCGTATGTGAAATCAGCGGGGCCACCTTTTACACGGCCTCCCCCGCGCTCTGGATCACACCAAAGAACACCACAGAAGCCAATGAATCGAGCGCGGGCAATGCCAGTGAAAACACCAGTCAATCCAGGCTGTTAGCACTGATAATACAGGCTTACACAGAAGAGCATTCGTTTTGGATGATCTGCTAATTGCCAAGGCACCTCGTGAGAGGCCAGCAGTGCCGCGAAAGCCCCCGCACCTAGCAAAAACAACCCACACAAAGTCGTGCGCCCACACAAAGTCGTGCGTCATGAGTGAGAGCGGTGAGGTAAAGCTGGTAAGCCGAGAGGCGCGTCAATCAGCCAGCCGTACGCGGACAAACGCCAGGCCAGAGCCGCGGACAATGCTGGGAAGTGGGCCTCGACGGCTACACCTCAGAACGGCACTAAAGAGCG